GTTCTTAAGAAATTGATGGTTCTAGGCATTGAGCACCAACAACTGATAACATCTAACATCATTAAAAGGACACAACCAGTCTTTATGCGCCTCCTAATGAGAAAACACCACCACTTAGGAAGCAGTTTTGCTGAAAAATAAAAATCAAATTTAAATCCTGTCCAACCGCTAGATGTTTTGTCTACAGGGTAACTACAAATACATGGCTATTTAAATTAATCTTAACAAAGATTAAATAAAATTTAAAATTTAGTTCTCCAGTCTCATTAGCCACATTTAAAGAGCTTAGTAGCCACAAGTAGCCACAACCCACAGCTCAGATATACATTCCGCTCATCACAGAAGTTCTATTAGTATTGCTCAGTACCCACTCACAGGAAATACAGGAGGGCCTGTGAAACTGCAGAGGGATGCAAAGCAATCCACAAAGTCCAGAATACAAGAAACTCTACAGACCAAAGACTTGGTTTATTAAATAAAATGTAACCAAAAAAAGAAATGGGAAGGAAAGACTGTTCACTAAAAATGTTAAAAGATAAGACTGAAAAACAGTAAGGAAAATCAGGTAAAAGTAAACTGTGATGCTTATAGAAGCATGGAGGAAGAAACCAGGAAGAAAAGGAAAGCATCACCTTAAGAAGCTGGACCACACCTCCTTCTACAGGGAGGAAGGGGACTGTGGCTGGTGTCACAATTGAGCAGCAAAGCTTGATTTCCCAGCCTGAGTGTTGAGCACAGGGGTCTTCACCTTCTGGCAACCCATTAAGCCAAACAATTGTTTTTACGTGGTTTTCTATATCTGTATTAAATTTCACCATAAAAAATGGTTAAATAAAATCTCATAAAGTGCACTAAGTGTTATCTGGCGAATTACAATAGGCAGTATGATAGCAATTGGGCCTCTGTGAGAAGTGACATCTAAGCCAAACTGAATTGACAAAAGAGAAGGCAGCCTTTGGAAGATCAGAATATTCCAGAAGGGAATACAGAGAAAGGGGCTGGCGCGATGGTTCACTCCTATAATCCCAGCACTCTGGGAGGTTCCAAGGCAGGAAGATCACGCGAACCCAGAGTTCGAAAGTAGCTCAACATGGTGAAACATTATCTCTACAAAAAATGCAAAAATTAATCAGGCCTGGTGGCTCATGCCTATAGTCCCAGCTACTCTGGAGGCTGAGATGGGAAGATCTCTTGAGCCCAGGAGGCTGCGGCTGCATTGAGTCATACACTTGTGCCACTACATTCCAGCCTGGGCTGCTGAACAAGACCATATCTCAAAAAGGGAGAGAGAGAAAGAGAAGAGGTCTCAGAGGAGGGTGAGCTGTGCTGAGTTTAAGTACTGAATGAATTCCAGTGTGATTACAGAGTGGTGAGCTGCAGGAAGAACATTTACAGGTATCACAGATTTCTCTATGCTTACAAACAGCAGGAACTATAAATGTTAACTCAAGGGTGCTACGTATATCCTAGTGATAAGACACAAAATACATCTGATGTATAAAAACTTATGTGTGATGCTTCAAAATAAAGATGCACACTACTGTCCACACTGGAAGCTGAACCTGTCCTCCGTGGGCCACGTACATGGTCTAACTAAACTCAGAACATGTTACTGTTTAGGATGCATGAAGTGCCCACTGCAATATCTGGAAGAATGACCTGTAATCCTGTAAAAATGAGAAGCCAACAATAGGTAAGCAATATTGACATCAGATAATCTTATTCTAGAACAATTCTCTAATTCTCTAATAAATCAAATGTACTACCCAGCCTTACCTCCTCTAAATCCCAGTCATGGGGGGCCTCCACAAGAAATCTAGAACAGTCCAAAGAGTCAGCCTTATGCTTACACTCTCTGTCAGGCTGGTTGACACGAAACAACCCTCCAAGCTCTTCTTGGGTATCACCATCTTCTTCTTCATTATCTTCTGCCACTAAAGAGGACACCATGGTAGAAAAGTGAGAACAAAAACTACAGCCCTAGAAGACCCATCATTTTTAACCAGTTAGGCCATGAGTCTTCGAACTCAGGAACTGAGAGGGCCTCTGTCTGTGATGGGTATGGCAATAGCCACATATGAGTTAGGCATTGAGAGTGCAGGGCAGTCACAGATTAAGAGAGCCAGGAAGCTATTGCTGTACATGTGTGGGGCTCCTGCGCTCCTGCACAACAGCAGCTAAGAGGCTGAGAAGGAGTGAGAATATTGGCGGTGGAGGGAGGGAAGGGACATTTAAAGGCTGAGCTTTAGATTACTAAAGAAGAGCGCTAAAGAATGTTGAGCCTCTCATCACTAAGAGTACCTAGACAAAACCTGAATGAAAAACAGTATACAACAACCTTCCCAATTCACTGGGCTGAGCCCAAAAGTCTCACCATGTGGCCTTGATCTCCCCATGCAGTAACCAGGGAGTACAATGTAAAGTTCATCACTATATATTTATTTTTGCATTAATTCTACCAGAAAGTATATATAGGTAAGTTTAGCAAAGCATAAAATCAGAAGACAAGGGCAAAAGGGAGAACAAAATGTGTTATACAGTGTTCTAATTCTCAGAAAGCAAAAAAGTAAATATTTTTATGGGCAGAAATATTTTTTTGGCACTAATCTACAAAAAAATTCTCATGAAGGACTTTTAAATAGGGAACGTAACATAATGCAATAGACAGCATTTGCATCAAGTTTTACAGCAAACCCATTAAGTCTACTTTATAAGACCAATGTATAGTCCTCATAAGCTGATGATTAGAGACATCCGTCAAACATGAAATGTGATGGACAGCAATTATGGATGTCAACAATACCAGCCCAATCCTCCAACCAATTCCCTCATCTAAATAATCAGAGAAACTAAAACATTTCCAGCTCTGAGCCAGAATTCTTTACCTGTCCCATAAATAAGCTTTCGGAGGTTTGGAGCTGCTTGCTGCTGCCTCAGAAAGGCCTCAGCTGCCTTTCTGGAAAGGTCTTCCTTCCACTTGAGGGCACCTGAAACGACCAAAGCCAACCTCCAGTTAGGCTTGTTTGCATGCCTCCCCTCCCTCAAGATCCATCCACAATGCAGCATTTCAACAGTTAACAAAATCACAGAATCAACAGACCCCCAAATGGAGACATTCCATTGGGTACCATTTCGAGAGCAAGTTGATAGCAGCAACCAACTAAATTTAAGCTTACCTGAGGTTTCTTTGGAATCATTATTTTCTTCCTTGTAATCTTCTTCCTCTTTGAGTAAATCTTCTATATCACTGGTCTCATCAATTAAGTTCTTTGGCCCCAGTTTCTGACCACTGCTCACTTGAGAAGGCTTTGAAAGCTTTTTTCTAATAGCCTCTTCATTTTCTGAGTCCTCTTCCTCTGCACCGAGTGAGGAGCTTTCTTCAGATTCATCTTCAGATGCAAACGCCTCTTCAGCTGTGCAATGTCCAGAATCGGAAGTGGGGAGAGCTGCTTTCTTCATCAGCAAAGACTTCTCCAGATTCACACGGTCACTCTGGCGATTAGCTGGCGACAGCCCTGCTTTACTACCTTCTCCAACAGCCTTTGATCCTGAAATGCCCCCCTCTCCTGCAGTGCAGTCCTCTTCTTCACTGCTTTCATCAGCTTCCTCTGCTTCCCCTTCTTCCGCTGAGCTCCTCTCAAGGTCATCGTCACTGTCAGCAAATGCTGGCAAATCCATTTCACTGTCTTCTTCCAACTCTTCAAGTTTCCGTCGTTTGACGCCCTTACCAGCCATATACTGATCAGTCATCTCAGCATTTTCCTCCTCTTCTGCTTCCTCATCACTAGAGCCGTTTTCCAACTCGTCATCTTCGGATATTTCATCATTTTCTTCATCATCACTATCTCCAGATTCATCTTCATCTCCAAAAATGGCTTTCCGACGCATTCGCCCAGTTTTCAAGTCCATTTGTTTTTCCTCCTTTGGCATCAATACCCTGTATTACCAAGGAAATACAAAATAATTCAATTTGTACATTAATCAGCTAATCTAGAAATGGCAATACAGTCAATGAAAAATACAAAGAAACAGAAAATGTCAAGGAATTGTTTAAGATGACATAGCATAGGGAAAAAATGATCTGATAAACACTGGAAGAATTAATAAGCAAACTCGGACATGGTTCCCTAACACCACACTTCAAAAAAACTTAGAGAGAGAATAAAGGAATAACCCTTAAAAAACAAAAATCTAATTTTAGAAAAAAATTGCTCAAAAGGGAAGTTAGTGTTTTGTAGATTTGTTTGAAAGCTGATTAATTTCTAAGCTAAAAATACATGATCCTTAAGAGAAATGGCTGAGTCCAGGCCCAAGGCAGAAAGAGGGCAAAATGAGCCTGGATCCTCTTGTTCTGTCAGAAAGTAAGAAATGCTCAAAGACTAACAGAGACAGTTGAAAGGACACAGGAGACAGGCTGAAGGCTCCTGCGGCCAAATCTGGGACAGCATAGGCATCAGGAAGAATAATGATAGTGATGGAAAATAACCCATGGAACAAAACGCAAGTGCATTAGTCAGCAGTGATACGGAAATAAAGGGGAGAAGTGAAAGCTCTTTGTTAAAAATGCCAGCTAACAAATGTAGGAGGAATGACAGAGGAAGAACATCCATTTTAAGTCACCAGTGTCATATCTGATAGAGAAGAATCATCAGGAGGCTAAAATCACAGTATAAAAGAAAACTGTATGAAGCTATTTAATGTAGCAAGATATATAAAATTATGAAAACATAAATTTGAAAAAACTGAAAATCACACCAAAAGAGATGGATAAGTTAGAATATAGCAATAACAGGCCAGGCATAGTACCTCACATCTGTAATCCCAGGACTTTGGGAGGCTAAGGCAGGAGGATTGCTTGAGCCCAGGAGTTCAAGACCAGCCTGGGAAACACAGTGAGACCTAATCTCTAGAAAAAAAAAAAATTAGCTGGGAGTGGTGGCGCACTCCTGTAGTCCCAGCTACTTGGGGGGCTGAAGCGGGAGGACCACTTGAGCCTGGGAGTTCAAGGCTGAAGTGAGCCCAGATCATACCACTGCACTCTAGCCTGGGAGACAAAGCAAGATCTTGTCACACACACAAAAATGAATACACCAATAATAACAAAATGGTGACTACATAAAGACTGTATAGAAAAAGGAAATGCTCAGAATATAGAAATAAAATTATGTATTTTAACTGTAACTATAGTAGAATAGAGTATTCTTATAGATAAAGATGACTAGAAGGATATACAAAAATGAAAATCGCTAGTAACTTCATTATAAAGGAGTGATCTTTCGGCGAACACTTTGCATCTGTCAGGCATTCTGCTAGGTAGTTTATACACATTGTAACAAATTACAAACTAGATAATCTCAAAATTTTCAGATAAATTTTACTGGGAGTCATAAATCAATACAACAAAACCAATGTTTTGCAAACATCGACTATGTATAAAGGTATACAAATTCCCAACCCAGACTGAAAAATAATTCACATAAGCCATACGTCCATGGAAACCTACCCATGGGAGATAATACAGCATAATCTAAATAAAACTTTCAGAGACAAGGCATGTGGCTTCTGGACAGCCACAAACTCCTTGACTCTGCTCTAGTGTTTTGGCCACCAAAAGAAAGCCAAGTGGCCTCACGTCTCTTAAAAAACCAAAGGCAACCTATGGAAGATGGCGTGGTATTTGAGGAATATTTGGGGTCTGTTGAAAAATGCATCCTGTATTTTATTTCAAGAAAAGACTCCCTTGTAATGTCAGGTAAGTGAAGAGCCCTCAGAGACATGCACACACAAAGAAAAACAAAACAACACAGAATGAATCCCACCAAAATGTGTTATGATGGCAGAATTATGGGTGATATGATCTTCTGTAATACATCTTTTTATTAAAAATAGAAAAAAAGCAGACTTACCCTTGATTATCTATATCCTCTGACCCAAGTGGCTTGGAATCAGAAAACAGCATCACTCGACTGGAAGCCATCTTGGCATCAATGGTGGAGATGGTGGAGATGAGACTCTGGACCAGCTCATGGGTGGGCCCCACCTCGTCCTGTCAAGACCACCAAGAAAGAGCATGTGAGAAAAGCACAAAGATCCTGGAGAGACACTGGTTTCATTCAGTTTCTCAAAATTATCTTAGACACATTTCCTAAGAACCTTTCTTAATGCCTCAAAAAGCAGAGAAGAAAATCCTTACAACAAAGCTTGAAATGGATCCCCATCTCCATTAAACTTTTCCAAAGTTCAGGGAGTATGTAACCTGATAACCTAAACACCTAGCTAGAAAAACCTCAGCTCCAATGCTACAACAATGCTAGCTCTTCTAACATTTTAAAATAACCCTAATTTTAACCCAATAAAATTCCACTTCAGAACTAAGAAATTAATACTTGAAATCCACTTTAAAATACAGAATGAGGAGACCACTGTGAATGAGAAAAAGACCAATGAGAGCTGGCAAGCACACTGATTTTGTAGAAACGGGGATGGGCCATGCAGGCACCACATGGCAGCAGGGCCCGCGCTGGGGCCATGGATCAAGGAGGAATGGAGGACAGGACTCTTCTGCTTGGTACAATGAAAACAAAGTATTTTTTTTATCCTATATATTTACAATATGCATTTGGGCCTTTATTATAAGTACAAGAGAAAAATCTTCAATAAATAAAAGCTGACTACATTATTTTTTGTGATTAAAAAATAGACTCGGAAAGAATAATGAGAGTTCAGAGAAATGACGCCCATCTCACCGATACCTGAAAACCATGGCTGCCACCAAGGTCAACATAGACAGAGTCTTTGTCATACAGCACACCCCCAACTCCAGAAAGAGGCGCATAAACCAGCTTCTCCTTCTCATTTAAACAGCGCTTCTTTTGTTGTTCAGGAAGAGCACAAGGGTCTGGGAGGAAACTGATGTCACTCACAGCAAAATCTCCTACCCCTGGAAGACAGGATCCAAAAGCAAGCTTTAGCTGACAAGAAGTCAGAAGTATCTACTGTTGACTGGGGGGTTAAAAACGAGCCATAGTCCAAGGGCTTAACCCATGACACTAAAGAAGGGCATTGTGCCACACTGGAACAGTGGCCCTCTAGCTACAAGACAAGAGGTCAGAGAAGAGGGGATTTGATAACACCTTTGCAGGCCTACACACATCTGGGTTACTTTAAAAACCTCCAGCGAGGCCATCTTCCCTTGTTTGGTCATTTTTTCAGTTTTCCTGAGAAATGAAGTCATCCCAAGAATCCTATGTGTAATTCTAGTATGTTCTACAACAAGAGAATACCTGGCATGTGAATTTGGCTTTTATTTTTCAAGTGTGCTCCTCTTAAATAACCATAAAGTGACACCTTCCGGTCACATTTGATGTTTGTTCGGATATCCTCTGGGTTTGTCAAATCTTCCATCCTAGAAAAATAAACTCAATCATGCAGCAGAAATGAATGCCAAAGTTCCTATACCTCCTTTCAGGTGTCAATGACTCATCACACTATTGTCCACTAAGCATATCATTTAGAAAACTAGAAAATGCAGAAATAAAGAAGCACCATTCCCCATCCACCAGAGGAAAACGGGCAGGCACACAACTGTGTCTCTAGGCTGGAAGTGACATTTTCATTCCAGAAGACACCAGACAGGGAGATGATGTCCACCTGGGGTCGGGGAAGAGTGAAGAACATATTCAGAAAATCCCTTGCTGGAAGAGAGTGAGCCTGTGCTTTGGGATTTTTACTGTGGCTTGGATTCTGGCAGGTGGAAAAAGGGTATTCCAGGCTGAGAAAACCACATGAGGAAGAGCACAAAGGAAGGAAACTGAAGGCCGTGAAGGCACACACGAAGGACTCAAGCACCCGGGCACGAAGGCAGCATCACTCAAAACTGAGGCTGAACGTAGGATGTAGCCTTAAATGCTTCCAAGTCCTCCCATTTTCCTAAACATCTCATAATTAATTTACTCCCAAAGGCACAGCATCTTTGAGCAATGATATACGTAGATATTTTCCATCAACTACACTTCTATCCCCACTATTCAAACAGGCACAAAATAAATCCTATCACTGTTCTTTTTCTAGCCTTTTTAGCTTTGAAATAAATGGCCCAAGAAGAAAAAATTTACAATCACTTTTTACCTGTCTGCCAGGACATAAGGGTGAGAAGTTTGCCATGTGAGAGGCCTAAACTTCATAACTGTAATAAAACGGCCCAGATTGTGGATTTCTTGGTTTTGATATTCTCCATGCACCATTCCAGAAAGGTAGAACAGCTTGGCACCCTAAACATTAGAGCAAAATTAAAAATTAAATTTCAATTAAATTCTCATCAATACTGCAACAAAATAAAAGTTCTAAACAAGAAGCAATCCTAAGAAGGGAGACTTCCAGCAAAGCCACTGTCCTGAGGCTTCCAGGGCCTTGCTGGCTTCTTTCAGGACTTATTAGAACCCCACAGAGGCAGACTGCTCTGCAGTTGAGCCGGGGCATCCATCTAAGTATGGTGAGGAGAGGGAGGTGAGGCGTCTGAGCACAGAAACGGTTCTGTGGCCGATGGACCAGAACAGTATAGAAAGGAAGGGGCAGTGCCTGGTCCTGTAACTAGGAGAAATTTCTGATGTACTCAATTATATAAAGTCCCGACCCCAAAACAGCCAGACACTGCCTGGCGCAGCAGGTACAGAGACAAATGAGATACACCAAGAGGCCCAGAACAAGCACCTCTTGAGGGAAACCTTCTAGAACACTGAACACACACACAAAGGAATTCAGCAGGCCAGAGACTGAACACATACACAAAGGAATTCAGCAGGCCATAGACTGTGAACACACACACACAAAAGAATTCAGCAGGCCAGAGGCTGAACACACACACAAAGGAATTCATCAGGCCATAGAGTGTGAACACACACACACAAAGGAATTCAGGAGGCCATAGAGTGTGAACACACACACACAAAGGAATTCAGGAGGCCAGAGGCTGAACACACACACAAAGGAATTCATCAGGCCATAGAGTGTGAACACACACACACAAAGGAATTCAGGAGGCCATAGAGTGTGAACACACACACACAAAGGAATTCAGGAGGCCAGGGACTGTGAACATACACAAACGGAATTCAGGAGGCGAATCCTAGAGAGACGTTTAGTAATGTCTCTTCAGTATTTTTACTTACTTATTTTTTTGAGACAAGAGTCTCACTGTGTCACCCAGGCTGGAGTGCAATGGTGTGATCTCAGCTCACTGCACCCTCTGCCTCCTAGGTTCAAGCAATTCTCACTTCTCAGCCTCCTGAGTAGCCGGGATTACAGGCACGCACCACCACACCCGGCTAATTTTTGCATTTTTAGTACAGATGGGGCTTGGTCATGTTGCCCTGAGCTCAAAACTCTAGGCTCAAGTGATCCGACCGCCTCTGCCTTGCAAAGTGCTGGGATTACAAGTGTTAGCCACTGCGCCCGGCCTCTTCAGTCTATTTTAAAAGGATTATACTGCTAGTATCCAACAATCATTTCTCCTCTTACCGGGTAAACTTCTGTCCAGAACCTGTGTTTTAATCGCTTCTTTGTCTTCTTCAGTTGCTTATTATGCTTGAAGGAGTCGAGGTGGGTGAGAACTCCCATAATTTTAGGAAAGCCATGTACTTGACAGATGTTTAGAAACTCAAATGTTTCCATTTCGAACCCAAAGCTGGCATCTATAAGCATCAGTACCTACAAACAGAACACATCATTTTTCAAAGAAACTACCAAAACAGACCACCTACACTAGGGGTTGGCAACTGGCCACGGGCAAAATCCCGCCCATCACCTGTGTTTGTAACTAAAGTTTTATTGGAACATAGCCACATTAACTCATTTACATTTTGTCTATGGTTGCCTGTGCACTACAACTGCAGAGCTAAGTAGCTGTAAAATATATGATCCACAAAGCCAAAAATATTTACTATCTGGCCCTCAACAGAAAAGTTGCACTCCAGACTAAATCAAATAACTACATAGGCATCACCCAGACAGAGAAACCACCACACTCTGACTTGCTCTAAAAGCCAATTATAAGACAATGTCCACTAGGATGCAAACTTCCATTATAAGAATTTTAATGTATGAGAAGTAACTCAGAAAAGGCTGGGTCTCACCTGGCCCTTACCTAAGAAATTCTAATTTAAAGAAATCAAGTTTTCTGTAAGGTATTTTTAAGCCAAATAACAGGTCTCTGACATCCAAAGAATGGGAAGAAAGTGATAATCAATGAAATATATTAAATATGTACAGAAAACCAATCTCTTCTTTCAATCTCCTCATAGAAAAAAAATCTGTTTTTTGCTGAGAAGTATGCAGTGGAAACCTCTATCTTATATATTAATTTGGATAACTCAATTGTTAAGAAATTTTTTTTAAATAGCTGCCATTTTAGAATTAGGTCAAAAAAACAGTAAGATTATGATGATTGGTAGTCTGTAAGAAAATATAAGCAGATGAGACCAATTTTTAACTTTTAAGATGCTTCAAAGATGCAAAATAATTTCAGAATTGATTCCTGGAAACTTCTAGTTTACGTATTAAAAACATTTCTGTTCTTATCTTTGCATAGATAACTAAAATTAACAACAAAGAAAAATGGAAACAGAAATGCCCATCTTTGATTAAACTAGGAAACACTCAAAATCTGAAACCACAGAATATATGAAGGTGGGCTTGTGAGAAAGCACAGCTGCCACTGCAGATTGAGGCAGCAAGTACAGCGTTCCAGCAACACTGGACCAGCTCAAAGGACAGGCAGAATGTCCTCACACTACATTTAATGTCACAGAGTGCCAGGGGGCAAGCAGCTGGTTGTAAGGTCAGGAAGAACGGGGAACAAACAGTCCCTCAGCTGCCAGTCTTTGTCATCTAAGCCAGTGTTACTCCCCTAATCCACACACGCACGTACACACCCAAATCCACGTATTGTGTGTGCCTTTGCTGTACACAGGAGGCTTTGACAACCCACAGCAGAGCAATCAACATAAGCTAGGCTAAATAAATTATGGTGCCTCCATAAAATGGAATATTATATTAAAAAGGAGGCAGAGTTACAGTACTTACTTATTATATACCTCCAAGATACATTATATGAAAAAAGCAAAGCATAGAACAGTGTGTAAAATAAGCTACCATTTGTGTTTTTAAAGGGTGGTATGTGTGTTTATATGCATCTAGAAGGATACTGCTCTGCAGGGATCTGAATGACCAGCGGTTACACCAAGGAAAAAGAAAAATGCACATTGTGCGTATCCTGCATTACAGTTAGAGTACTTTACCAAATGTGTGTGTTCCTTTTGAAAAATCTTTAAAAGATTTACATAATAGGCATCTCTCTCAATGATGGTTAAGAGGCTGGGAAGGGGAGCAGGGAGGGAGGGACAAAGAGGGAAAGGTTAACAGGTACAAAAATACAGTTAGACAGAATAAATTCTGGTGTCCAACAGCACAATAGGGTGGACTGTAATTTATTATATAATTCAGAATAACTACAAGAATGAAATTGAAATGTTCCTAACACAGATAAATGATAAATGTTTGAGGTGATGGATATCCTAATTACCCTGATTTGATCATCACACATTGTATGCTTCTATCAAATACCACATGTACCCCATAAATATGTATAACTATTATGTATCCATAATAATTAAAAATAAAATTAAAGGCATCTCTTAATACGTATGTCTTTAATATTAGAAACTTGCTACATTTTACATAAAAGAGAAACAAATGACTTCTATGAACTATTTTGATCATTTCAAGTACACAAGATTTAGTAAGCTTACACTACATTAATAACACTTATTTTTACTAATGGTAGCATTACATGTTCAAAATTTGAATGTTATTTAGTTTTCTGACATTACAATGGTACAACTTTAAAATGTGTATTACTTTTTACTTTATATTTTAGGAGTATTCCTGGGCCAAAGTATAAAATCTGTAGCTCTTTGTTACCAAACAGCTGTCTAAAAAAAACCAAGGTATCTCTCACCCCACACTTCCTCATCAATATGGCTTACTTTTTTGCTAATTTGTTTTTATTTTTTCTAATTTAAAACGTAAGTTAATAGAATACCAGAACAGTGAACATTATCATTTCCATAAATGCAAGAGTATGTACATTTTCCATACACTGAGTACTGTCTAGATTTTTTATTGCTAAACTCTGACCACTTCTTCAGGGCAATTCATGTACTTACTTTAGCATTATCATTAAGGATGAAGGTTCTGGAACCATCAGGAACAAGGGTCCCATCTTCACACAAGTTATTTAACTGCTGGGAGGCTCTATTTCATCTTATGTAAACTACAGATAATAACTACTCACCTCAAGGGTGCATCAAGGATTTATGTAAGCTAAATTTGTAGAAAGCAGTTAGCACAGTGCCAGGAAGAGTCCAAGAAAAAATGGTAATTACTATGATATATTTGTATGTATATATGTATACATATTAATGAGCTCTTATTAGTTGTGTTCATTAAAGGTTTTCTCCATCCTGTGATTTGCTTTTAGATTTTGGAATACATTTCATTGTGCACATTCCATTTTTATTATTAATATAACAATATTTATTACCATAATTATTATCATCAATTCAATCATATCTACTGTATCACTGATGATGACTATGATTCCTTTAATAATCATAGGACTCTCTTCCTTTCATCACGGGATAAATAACCTATCACGATGCTCTAAGTCTCCATCAGCACCCCAGGCTGCCCCTGCTGACTTACCAGATCTGCTACTTTAGCCAGATCAATCATCATGTTAATATCACACCCGCATTCAATAATGGTGAGTCTGCGCTTTTTACCTATAAGTGAAAAGATGAAAATTTTACTTTAAAAAGATCCTGAAAAAACTCTAACCATCAACTCTAATTTTCATTTTTTAACTGCATCCAGTAAAACATCAGGTAAGTTTACAGGAGTGTACCAGAAGTTCGTTTTTATAGGCAAAAACTGGTAAAATAAAATAAATTCCATTCTGTTTTTCTTGCTGTGTTCTAAATTTAAATAATATCAAAAGTCTACCCAGATGAATAAAAGTGCTCAAACAGGGAAAATTCGGACTGCATAGGCTCCATGATAACCATGATCCTGCTGTTCAGCTGCAGGCCAAAGTCTTTACCTCTATCAAAACTTCCCGTATTCCCACTATAGCTACAAACATCCTCAAACATAATGCAACAGAATATTCATAACAATAATTATTTCTAAATTAAGGTAAAAAGAAAATGGTCAAGAAAATATGGGCTGGGTGCAGTGGGAGGCCAAGGCAGGCAGATCCCTTGAGCCCAGGAGTTTTGAGACCAGCCTGAGCCACATGGGGAAACCCCATCTCTCCAAAAAAAAAAAAAAAAAGGGAAAAAAAAGAAAACTTAGCCAGGCGTGGTGGCATACACTACTCAGGAGGCTAAGGTAGGAGGATTGCTTAAACTTGGGAGGTTGAGGCTGCAGTGAGCTGTAATCACACCACTGCATTCCAGCCTGTGCCACAGAGTAAGACTCTGTCTCAAAAAAGGGAAAAGAAAATATGGATGCTCCAAAGATAAAGAAAAGCCTAAATCCAACTATACTATTGCAATAACAAGAGATTTCAGACTGCACATTCCCATTCTACCACTGGAAGTTTGTTTCATTTTCCCTCAAACTTGGAAAGGTCACCATCTCCCAAAGCAGACAATTCTTATAGGAAAAAGAGAAAACTCGCACTTCCACCAGAATGTGGCTTCATAAGGCAAACGTACACATTTTCAATGTGAACATTATCACATATGTTATCTCCGGGAACTTATCTCCGGGTAAGTTATCTCCGGGAACTTACCCTTTTCTGAAGCTATAGCCAACTTAGTAAAAGTATAAGACAGGTAACATGATATGACAATATTTAACATGTTCCGCTCAAGAAAACAACAAATGCATGCACGTCCCTCAGATGACAACAGCCACGCCAACTCTGTGTCTGTTGCGGCATCTCCTACCTGACACAATTGTCACAGGGCCTCTGATCTCGGTCAGCTTCTGCCGGGTGAAGTTCCGAATGAGGCATTGTATCAAAGTGCTCTTTCCAACTTTTGGAGGCCCCATCACCACTACCACTATTGGTGGGGGCTCCAGTGGAGTTCGATCAACCACTGGAATATGATGCTTTTTTGTCTTCAAATCCTGAGTCCTATTCATTAAAAATAAATAAATAAATAAATAGTAAACTCACTTTCAAAATAGAGTAAAAGGTATCAACTTTATAAGTAAACTTTTTTAGTACATTTATATATATGAGTACTTTAGCACATTTTATTGAGAGGACAAAAGACAATATATAATTAACTTGTCAGTTATTAACTTGTTAACTTCTGGCCCCATCCAAATAACTGCTGTTCAATAAAGATGTAACAAGACAACTTCAATAGCATAGAAAGCTGAAAATTAAACACTCCTTAAATCTGACTGTTTTAAGAGTGATTTTAATAGTTTTTAAAAAAACCAAAAGGTAAATACCGAGGCAGTGCATCATAACAGAAAAGAGGCTCTGGAGTTAAATTTGGCTCTCCTACTTACTGGTTACATGATTGGAGGTAACTTGTTCTCTTGACCTCAGTTTTCTTACCCATAAAATGAGGGCAAGAATGATTCCTACTCTGGTAAGGCTGCTGGAAGCATTTAGTTGAATAATGTTTAAAGTATACCGCTAGGCATATCACAAGGACACACTAAATAAAGCTATGTTAGTATTAAATATTGTAATTTTGTATTTTATATTACAACTATGTAAAACATACCTAGGGGGAAAAAAGCACACTTATCACCATAGAAACAGTTTAAAATTTAGGAACAAACAAATTCTATGAATTCTTGCATCTTGGGCAATAAACACCAACCAGTGTGCAGATGCTGGAGGCAAGGCAGCTTCTATGGGAAAGCTTCTCACATTTTAGTGAAAGCCACACACCACACATCTCCATGTCCTTTGGAGCTGGACTAGACTCATGAATCCAAATGTCACCTGTGAAAGGCTCCTACTATTTAAAAAGAATCAATGGAAGAACGACCAGACTGTACCCTAACATACCTGTGAAAGGATCGAGCCATCCGCACAGCAGACTGAACTGCAAAAGCTTTGGGATTTCTCTTCCGGGCATCTTCTTCGTCTCCTAGCCGGAGATCCTGCAGATGCCGCTTCTTTTTCTTTTCAGCTTTGGGCCCACTGTTTTTCTTTCTGTGTTTCTTCTGGTCTTTAGTCTCCATTGTAGCTATTTACCAATAACAAGTAACTCTAACCTACAAGGAAGAAGGTTGGGGTAAGGAGGTGGGAGAAGCATTTTACAATCCAGGCAATACCCAGGGAAAAACAGTAAATTTCATTTATTTCTTTATGAAGAGATGATGTATTTATTTACTGAACAAGGGTAGAAATTGCTTAACCATTGCCAATTTCATTTCTCTCTGTTATGCTATAAATTAGATGAGTTACCGCTCCTAAAGTTACATTTTATTGCTGTTACTTTTTATTCATCTTAAGTGTCAACATCAGCAGTATCTATTTCTGCAAGGATAGAAATATTCTATATCTGTACTTTTCAGCCATTTAGCCATCAGCCACATGTGGTTACTTAACAATATACTTAGGGAAACTGAAAAAATGAATTTTTAATTAATTTCATTCTAACTCTAAAGTCACATGTGGCTACCACACCGGACAGCTCAGACCTAAGTATCAACTGGAGTAAAGAAGGGGTTTCTCAACTTAAACTAAAACTTACATTTTAATAAAAAATGTAAAACGTTTTTATGAACTTCCAATATGATCGCAGTATTACTTTTAGTACCTGTTGACTCTGTAAAACTCCTAAATTACAACTTACTTATATACATTTGAGAAATAGCAATATATCTTAGCACATTTTATAAAGAGTACAACAGACAATATATAATTAACTTGTCAAGTATTAACTTGTGAGATAGGACTGGTTCTAGATGATACCTGGAGACCCCATGAACTTACAGAGACCCTTCCAGTGATTTCTGAGTTACCTGGGAATCTGTGGCTAATAAATTGGTAATCACTAAATTGGTGAGTTTTTTTTAGGAAATGGGGCTTCATAAAATCTGACAGCTTGATTTAAAAAAAAGGGGGGCAGCAGGATACTATTTCATTCAATTAAGGTACCGTATTCATTCAGTTTAATAAATATTTTGTCTGTCTATGATATGCTAGGCACTGTGCCAGTAAATGGATACAGCTATGGTCTGACTTGCAGAGGAAATCCAAACTAGTATCTTCCGCGCCATGCAATAAGGGCGACATTGGAAGGCTGCACAGGGTGCTACTGGAGCACGGAGGTGAGTCAGAGGCTTCCCACAGACCCACACACCAGCGGAAACAGAAAGTCTTTATATATCACCATAATGTCAAGAACACTGGCCGGGAGTTAGAAGAGCTAGGCGCTAGGAACGCTTTGAAACTGAAGAGCTGTGTGATTTCAATGATTATGTTTCTTCTCTGCTATATTTTAGTTCGGAACTTGTACTAATGTTTCTCTCCCTGTCCTTCTTTGGTGGGAAAAGCACAATTTCGGGTCAACAGATCCGGCTCAGGTCTAAGTCGCCTGCCGAGACCACGTCGCCAGGAAACTACGTCTCCCAGCCACCTTCCCTCCCTGTCCGGGCTCTCTGCAGGGATTCCTCCGGTCACTCTCCCAACTACCACAGGACACCTCCGGCAGATGAGAAATATGCCGCTCCTCGGGAGCAAAGATGACCCAGAGGACCGGGGAAGGACCTTCTCACGCGCACGACTCGCGATCCTCCCAGTGCCCCAGAATCAGGGACCCCACCGCCGCCTACCCCAGCCCGCTGTACTGAACCTGCTGGCAACTGCGACTCCTCAGTTCAGCATGGACACCGCCGGAAACGGAAATTCACCGTCGCGCCGACTCGCCGGAGGGAAACAAGAAGGCAGAAAAAAGAGACCGGCGTGGGGACGGCTTTCAGGGCCTGAAGAAAGACTGCTGAAAAGCTGAGTGCGGATGCAGGCGCAGTCCACGCAGTGCGTTTCACCGGGTCCGGGTACTTACCGAACCCGCTCCACCCCGCCCTCAGAATCCGCGGCCTCAACTTCCGCGGTGGGACTCTGGAGCAGCGTGCACCGCACTCGCCCAAGTCCTCGCCGAAGGCCAGGGCGGCTCTGCGGCCTGGCGCCGGTTAGTTAGTGTGGTGCAAAAGCCGGAAGGAGACACATTTGGTCTTGGCCTCCCGGCAGTCACCGTGCCAGGGACGAATGGACTATCGCTCGATTTGGGGTCCACTTCCTCCTCTTTAAAGATGCGAGATGAGGGGGATCTCGCGTTCTGGGGTGCCCTAAAGCCCTCTTTTGGCAGGGCGCGGGGTCTCACGCCTGTAATCTCTACACTTTGGGAGGCCGAGGCGGGAGGATCGCTTGAGCCCGGGAGTTCAAGACAAGCCTGGGCAACATAGGGAGACTACCTCTCTCTTTCTAAAAAAAGAAAAAAAAAATTAGCCGCGTTGTGCCGGGCGCCTGTGGTGCTTGTGGTCCCAGTTACCCTGGAGGCTGAGGTGGGAGGATCGCTTGGTCCCAGGAGGTGGAGTTTACAGTGAGCTGAGATGAGCCACTGCACTCCAGCCTGGGTGACAGAGCAAGACACTGTCTCTAAGAAAAATAAATAAAATAAGGCCCTCTTTTGCCAGGACCAACAAACCCTGAGGGCAGGGACAAACTGACCAAGCCCAAACTGCCTCGCCTTCCCTGCTCCCAGGAAAGGGCTTTCCCTGAGGGAATAGAGCATCTTGCCATTTTTTTCCTGCACAGCTTTGCCTTCCCAGGGATCCGCCCATTGCCACCTGAGGAAATGCCTTGGAGTCCATCTAATCCCCAGCCCAGCTACTTGGGATGCCTACAGAGCGTACATTGTCAGAGGATGCATCTTCCTGTAGTCTTAGAAGGTTTCTTTTCAATATGATCCCGCTGGTGCATTCAAGGCTCAATTCTACACCAAAAACTAGGCCCACTCCTGTCACGAGAACCCCAGGCATCAGGTCCTCTCACAGGCACCTTGTTCTGGCCTTCAGCAGCCCCCAGGTATTCACTCCGCATATGCTATATACTGGGTGCTGGACTAGAGAGGCTACCTACGTGGCACATGCTTCCCTTATCCGTGAAGAGCTTAGAATATTGTAACTTCTTCACACTACACCACTTACTTCTTGAAGATTTCAGTATCCAGGTAGATAATCCTTCCAACGTCATTTTGGTCTCATGAAGCCCACTCCAGTCCTCTGCCCTACCTTAGCTTCCCCCTCCCTCCATGATCAGACCTTAGACCTTGTCAGGTCCAAGGACTGCAACCCCCACAGTATCCCACTCTGACCACCACCTCCTGTCTATCCAGGTCACTCCCTATACCGCCCTGAAACAAAACTCCTGCAACCTTACCAGCACCTCCAATCCAGATCTTACTACCTGTTCACTGTTTCTTCCTTCCTTTATGGCCCTCTCTAGTGAGCCAGCTTAAACTCCATGGCCAACCATTCTCATTAATCCCTTGCACACCTCCTTAACTCATGCACCTCCCTGTCACCTTCTATCTGCTTGGTAAGATGGGGGCACTGGATAAACTCAGCTCTCCATCTATTCCATGCCACAACAATGCAACTGAACATGGCTGGAGGAAAACAGGACCATGCCAGCAGTCCTCACTTTAATCATTCTTTGCCTGGTCTATTCAATCTCCCATTGTTCCAGGTGAATATTTCACACTTCCTTCTCTCTGTTCAATCCTTCCCACTGCCTCTCCCTTCCTTGCCTCCTGCTTTACTAAGAGAATAGAAGTGGTCAAAGTCTTCCACAGACTCCCACCTCCACCTCCACCCATCTGCCTCCTATTGCCTGCCTGTGACTGTGGATGAACAACCGCTATGTCCAGCCAAAGAATCCTGCACTGGACTGCTGAATCCCATCATCTCTTACTGCTCCAGGGTGTCACTCCAGCCAGCCTATCCTTTCTCTAACATCAGCAGTGTTTTCCTTTCTACTGGACTCTTCTCATCATCACACAACATGCAGCTATTTCTGTCATCTTCAAAACACAGAAATTACTCGACCCTATTTCCTATACCAGGACCTGCACCTTTTCTACGTTCCCTTTTGCAGCAAAACTTCATAAAAGAACGGTCAATACATACTCTGGCCCCTCTCCTATTCTCTTTGATTCACTTGTCTCACAGGACTCCACCTGCAGCCCTGGATGCTCTTTCTCAGCTGCCTTTGCTGGTTCCCCTGCTCTCACTTGTTTAAATTAGAGCAAGGCCATAGGTTTCGGGCTTCAGTTTTCTTTTCTTCTGTGTCTATACTTATTCCCTGGATGATCTCATTCTGTCTCAGTTTTATATTCCATCTGTGTCAGTAATTGTTATGTATTGGGTCTGTCCCTGCCCAAATTTCATGTGGAATTGTAATCCCCAATGTTAGAGGTGCGGCCTGGTGGGAGGCGATTGGATCATGGGAGCAGAGTCTTCATGAATGGTTTAGCACCATTCCTCTAGTGCTGTTCTCGTGATAGAGTTCACACAAGATCTGGTTGTTCAAAAGTGTGTAGCACCTCCCCGCCCCCCACTTCCTCCTGCTCCAGCCACGTGAGATATGCCTGCTTCTCCTTCAGCTTCCACCACGATTGAAAGTTTCCTGAGGCCTCCGCAGAAGCTGTCGTGTTTCCTGTGCAGCCTGCAGAATAGTGAGCCAATTAAACCTCTTTTCTTATAAATTGCCTAGTCTCAGGTACTTCTTCATAGCAGTGAGAGAATGGACTAATACAGTTATCAATTTATTGCATCTCTGCTATAAACTCATTCTTCATTGCCTGCTCTGCAAAAACTGAACTGGGCCATTTAAATATTTCCCTCAGACATGATGTTAGGTTTTGTCAGTAGAGAGCAATGGAGAGATCTTGCAGGCGAAAGCAGTCTTTGTTCCTGGTTCTCCTGTGCTGCTTGGCCTGGCTCCTGCAGGTGGGGGTCTTCTCCAGAAACCCAGTGGCCAGTGCCCAGCAGGTCCCACTCCTCCCACCAGCTCCAGGCAGTTTTGTTATAGAGTAACTCTTCTGAGACACCGCTCCTTTCCCCAGCACCTAAAGAAGTATTTCTAGTAAGTTCCAGTGACATAGCACCAGTGACTCTCCTGACATGCAGAGGGCCATGACTGGGTTCCTCTGATGAGGTGCAAGGGAGGTGCACTAAGAGGAGAGGACTCTCCTGGGCTCTCTACCTCAGCCCTAGACTAGTGGTTGCTCCTTCTATACTTCCTACTAGTCTGTGCCTGGTTACTCCACTTCCCTGTTGCAATGAACACTTCTTTATATACACGTTTCCTGTTCAAATGACTGTGGGGCTTCTCTTTCCTAATTAGACTCTGACCAATACACTATCATTTGCCAACAACTCCCAAAGTTTTATCAATGACTCAGACCTCTAACCTGAACTCCAGCTGCCTCCATGACATATCCATTTGGATATTTAATAGACATTTCCAAAGTGATATGCCAAACAGAACTCAGGATCTTCCCTCTCAAACCAACTGCTCAGCAGTCTTATGATCTCAGTTGATGGCAATTCCATCCATAAAGATGATTAGTCAAAATGCCTCCCACACACCTTTGTCTGTTCACTTTTTCTATCCTCCATTTCCAATCCATCAGAAAATTCCTGTTGACTCTACCTTTGAAGTACAACCAGAATCCAACCACTTGTCACTACTTCCGCTGCTACCCCTTTGGGCTGTGCCCCATGCAATCACACATGGATGACTGTGAAACCTTTCTCTTGGCCTCCCTGCTCCCACCTTTGCCCTTGAACAGTCAGTTCTCAATGAAGCAGCCAGAGGGCTCCTGTTAAAACATAAGGCACTATTGGTAATTTAAATTGGTATAAATGCTTTGGAAATGATTCAGCATGTCTATTATTACTAAGCATGCACTTACCCAGTGAGCCAGCAACACAAGTAGATACAGAAAGGCACATAAGAATGTTTGGCCGGGTGTGGTGGCTCATGCCTGTAATCACAGCACTTTGGGTGATCAAGGAGGGTGGATCACGACACGAGGTCAAGAGATGGAGATCATCCTGGCCAACATGATGAAACCCCATCCCTACTAAACATACAAAAAATTAGCTGGGCTTGGTGGCACGCACCTGTAGTCCCAGCTACTTGGGAGGCTGAGGCAGGAGAATCACTTGAACCCAGGAGCCAGAGGTTGTAGTGAGCTGAGATCGCACCACTGCACTCCAGCCTGGGCAACAGAATGAGACTCCTTCTAAAAAAAAAAAAAAAAGAAAGAAAGAAATGTTCATAGCATTATCCAAACTGGGAAAAACCCAGACATCCACCAGCAAAAACCTAAAGACAAAACTGTAATATATATTTGCAATGGAACTATATAGAACAATGAAAATAACCACCACATGCACCAACATAGAGGATACTTAGCGAAAGAAGCCAGACACAAAGAAGAACGTATCAGTTGATCCATTCAAAGCTTGAACCCAGGCAAAATTAACGTGTGGCAACAGAAGTGAAGCTAATTGTGACTTTTGTGGAGGAGGGAATGTATAACTGGGTGAGGGCTGTTCTGTTGCTGGTGCTAGCTGATGAGTGTGTTTACTTTGTAACTATTTACTGAGCTTTAATATGGCAAACTGTGCTCCTAGCTATTTAGCCAACTGATTTGAAACTTACGTTCACACAAAAATATGTATAGCAGCTTTATGCATAACTACCCCAAAGTGAAGTCACCAAGATGTCTTTCAACAGATGAATGGATGAACACACTGTGGTATCCATACAATGAAAATCATTTGACAATAAAAAGAAGTGAGCTATTGATTCACACTATAACATGGATGGATTTTAAATGCATTTTGCTAAGGGAAAAGTCATCCCCAAAAGATTCTGTTTATATTACATTCCAGAAAATGAAAAACTGTAGGGATGGAAAACAGATTGGCAGTTGCCAGGGGCTGAGGAAAAGGAAAGATTAACTACATAGAGGATGCACAGGAGAATTTTAAGGGGATGGAACTGTTCTGTATCATACTGAGGAGGTGCTTGCATGACTATATCCTGATCAAACCCATGGAACCATACATGATGAAGTGGGAACTTTAATGTATGCAAAATTTAAAAATTAGCCAAGATGTCTGGAGATCCCAGGATGGAATGAAGCTTGTAACAAATGACCTAACTTAACTATAAATGTATGATATAACATCACTGGAGCAGGTGAAGAAAAAAGAAACTGGCCTAAGTAACTTTGGAAAGTAATATTATGACTAGAAACGGAAAGACTGAGGATGAAAGGAATTGTCCACAAACATTGTACTTTAGTTGGTGAATTTGTTTTTCCAAGGGGTATGCACTAACAAGTCAGAGATGGCTTTGCTTGCATATTAAGATTGAATAAATGAGTCATGGATAGTGAGAGTCAGATTTCTCACTGTTGGAGAGAGAAGTCACAGTGAGCAAGGTGGGGAAGCTAGAATGAACACTGTGGTGCTGGATTAGAGTCAAAATGTGTGTGTGTGAGTGCGCATGTGTGTTTCTTAGCTCTGCCTAGTGTGCCCCAAAGCAATGACATCCCAGCATTAGTGTGCACACTGAGCTCCCAGATCTTGGTTTCTAAAACCATTCTCCAATAAAAGGAACCAGAGCTCCTTGGAGAAATGGCTGAGTCTAGGGCTAGGGTAGTAAATACATAAGAGGAGCCTGAAGCATCTTGTAGCGCCAGAAAGTAAGGAAATTGCTACAAACTGAAGGATGTTGGTGTGTCAAAAAGGTCAGAAGCCAACTTAATGAGCTCCCAGTGGCTGAGCTGGAGCAGGGTGAGCTGGTGGGAGGCAGGGTCTGGGTGAGAGGGCTGGTGGGAGCTTAGGGCATCATGTAACTAACCAGGGAAATCCTTGGAATGGGAATCAGCCTGGCAGAAACAAGAAATTGGCAGAATGTTTAGGAGAAGCATGCATTGGGTGGACATTCGTGTTGAGAAAAAGAATGATGGGGCAAGGGTATTAATCAGAGGTGGCAGAAATGGAGGCAGAGGATGGGAGGTTTTTCTGACAGCAAGTTGCAGGGGGCAGAGCATCAGGGAGAAGTAGCCCATGGAAACCAGGGCTGAACAACGGTCCCAGAAGGGGAGTTTGGTAGCAGGTGGGGTTTGTGAGAGATCAATAGAGGAGACTGCTGGGCAAAGTCTAGGGGTTCCCATAGTCTCTGGGAGTTAGAAAGGACCAAGGGATCTTACAAAAGGGAACTTTGATTAGTGAGTGAATGTGGGGCCCTTTGACAATAGGTGGGAGCTCTGCATAGCACGGGTGACACTGGCAGACTGCTCAGTGGGCTCTGTCGAGACCCGTCAAAAGCCCTGCTCTCCTGCGGTTTGGTTTTGAAAGGAAAGGGTTCATCAGAGCCAGGTCAGGGATTTCTGCAGGATGGGAGCCTCACTTGGGGGCTGATTGGAGATGTCAGGTAAAATGTGCTCCTTAAGGAGGGATTGATTCAAGTGGGAGGGGCAGGAGCCCTCATCCAAAGGCAGTGTCTGGAGGTAGGTGAACCCAAACTCCACCCACCTTTTCTCTTATTCCACTGGGGCTGCTTTAACAAAATACCATAAATTTCTATGGCTTATAAACAACAGAAATTTATTTTTCACATTTCTGGAGGCTGGAAGTCCAAGATCAAGGCACTGGCAGATTCCACATCTCCTAAGGCCTGCTTCCTTATAGATGGCAGCTTCTAGCTTTTTCTTCTCGTGGTAGATAGGGAAGCCCTTTTCTCTTCAGCCCATCATGAGAGTACCAATCCCATTCATGAAGGCTCTACCCTTATGACCTAATCACCTCCCACAGGTCCCACCTCCTAATACCATCTCATTAAGCTTTAGCATATGAAATAGGTTGGGGGTGGTTTACAAATAGTCCAGAGTACCTTGTGACATCCTGAAGGCCAGAGTCAGGGTGAGAGGGCCCCTTCCCTCTTCCTCTTGGAGAGTGAAGCAGGGAATATGAAGGGAAATCAGAGTCTGTTTCAAAGGATATCGCATGTTAGTGAAACACTCATATTATAGATAGAAAGCCTGATGCCAAGAGAGCAGAGAGAATGGCCCAAGGCCATACAGCAATCCATTGGTAAAGGGGCCAGCGCATATCTCTGCGGCAGGAAATAGAAGTTTTGAAAGCACCCTTGCAATGACTATAATGATACAAGTGACCACTACTACATGCATTCTTCCATTTCTCACAACCACCTGTGAGGTCAGTTTTGTGTAGCCCGTTTGACAATGAGGTCCGAGAGGAACACAGTGTGTTGTGACGTTGTCAAAGTCAAAACACCTGCCATCAGTGCAGCCACTGGCTAAATTTCAGGTGTGCACACAAGGATTTCATTAAACTTGATGAGCGGTTCTCAGAGCCAGACCAGGCACTGAGGAGCGAGGCAGCTTTGAGGAGGAAGTGGCACTGACGCTGGAAACTTAGGTTCCGATGGGGACAGACCTAGGAGAAAGAGGACTAAGAGTGACAGGTGGGAGACAGAGTGAAATTATTCAGAGGAGGGAGAGGCAGCTTTTCTCTGAAGGCTGAGTGGGTGGAAGTGAACTTCGTGGATGAAAGAGGGCTCAGAGTCTAAACATCTCTGAGAGCTGAGAAGCTATTTATCTGGCCTCTGGATGTGTATCTAAATGTATATATTTTTTTCGGTCAAAATGAAGTCACTTACAGACTATATTTTAAGTGAAAAGATTCTGCAATTTACCACCTGCTGGCTCTGACCCAGGATGGCCCAGCCCTTCCTTAGTTTGCACTTCTTTCCTCATGAAGTTAAATTGTTTTCATGTTTTTAAGGTATGCATTTTGTAGTCAGTGAGCTGTCATTTTACATTCTTTGCCCATATCTCCTTCCCTTTAATAATTATGGATTATGATCTCCCATTTACATCCAGGAAACTTCAAGAGGTTACTGAGGGTTGCCTTCAAGAAAGGGTTTGTAGCCTATCTGAACTTGTAGATTTCTTGGATAATTTGATGCATGTGCAGAAAAATGAATTTTTTTTGCTTTCACACACATTAATATTAGTCTGTTCTCACACTGTTAATAAAGACATACCTGAGACTGGGTAATTATAAAGGAAAGAGGCTTAATTGACTAACAGTTCCACATGGCTGGGGAAGCCTCATAATCATGGCAGAAGGCAAGGAGGAGCAAGTCACATCTTACATGATGGCAGGGAAGAGAGAATGACAGCCAAGGAAAAGAGGTTTCCCCTTATAAAACCATCAGATCTTGTGAAACTTATTCACTACCATGAGAACTTTATGGGGAGAAACCACCCCCATGATTCAATTATCTCCCACCAGGTCCCTCCCACAACACATGGAAATTCTGGGAGCTACAATTCAAGATGAGATTTGGGTGGGGACACAGCCAAACTATATCAGATTCAATTTCACATATTTTTGGACCCAGGAAACCCCACTAAGGCCAAGATTACATATGCTTTTCCGGAGTCTGCTTCTGAAGTCTTCAGGAGGCTCCTGTGGAGAAAGGAGCTGGTGTCCAATCCAGTGGACCTGTGGGTGGGATGGGCAGCTTCCTCCACATTCCCTGTTTCCCAGGCTCAGGGGGGCAGCCACTGGGAAACAGGATGCAGTCAGGTCACCTGCAGGCCATTCACCTACCAGAGATAAGGCTGCCAACAGAACTCTTAGTGCTGATGGGTGTGCTCTGTGTCTCACTCTTCCTATGCATAACCATTAGCCACATCAGTCTGCTCAAAACCTTCCTAACTTCCTGCCATCCAAGGTCCTTGCTTCTTTCATTCATTCAGTCAATGTTTTCTGAGCATGTACTGCACCCCAGGGAACAAATGCAAAAATGCCCCTGCCCTCCTGGTGCTTGCATTCTAATTTCTAAAAAATGGCCTCCTGAAACTGCCAGACTTGTTTAAAGAACTGCTTCCTCAATGTGTTTCTTAAAAATGATGGTATTTTGGGGGCAGAAAAGCAAATAATCGCAGTTTGAGAAAACAATGTGGTTCAAAGGATTAAAGAAATTAGAGGCTATAGAGGGTCTGCACGAGAAAAGATAAGGGAACTCGTGAACCTTTTGGAGTGGAATGAAGCAGTAACAGAATGACTGGCTTGGAGGTTATTTCTGACGGGGTATATAAACCCACTCTGGAAATAGGAATGACCTGGCAGAGGATTAGGATTCAGGGGCCAGAAGTAGGACCTGTTCCTAGCAAGAACAAATTTAACAATTCCTACTAGAAATGGGATCAGGAGAGAGGGAAATTCACGACCAGCAGAGGTATCAACATCTTCAAGTAGCCGTAACAACTACTTTAATTTTTTGGTAAAAGTTTTTCCAGGTCAATAAAAAATTAAGGGGTTAAAAAGTAAGAGTGATACTTAGATAAAGTTATCAATAACAACCAAGACCCAGAAAGCTTACCCAGCTAGTCAATGAGGAACCACGGATAAGGCTCTTACTACTAACCCCATGCTTTTTCCACTACATCATGCGGGGAGTTGAGCAGGGTCATCTTTCATCAGCAGTGTCTAAGACATGGGACACTACAGCTGCAGAACACAGCATAGGAGAAGGTCAAACTTATAACAGCTGAACTCTGGTCAATGAGACATGGTTCTCAAATGATCAGAACTGGGTGTCTAGGTGGGGAGTAGTTGCCAAGAAGAGGAGAGAGGTTGTTCGGAATTGCTACATTAGGATAATTGTTATTCATGAAACCCAGAACTAAGTTCATTCATCAGCAACCTTACCTAGCTCTGGGGGCAGAGTGGGGAGGCGGTTCCCCTGAATGTGGACCTCTTTAAGCTGGGTAAGCTCCCTGATTTCCTTAGGCAGTGAGATCAGGTTGTTATCCCTATTGTTGAGCTAAACAGAAGAAAACAAGGAGTTGTCAACACATTTTCACTTTAAAACGTGCTCCACAGAAACTCTCATCCTCCTCCATGTCCTCTCTTCTACTAAAACTCAGTCTTTTCCATTTGTTTACAAGTGCCGGTAGATAATCAAGAAACACTATCAGGAGTAGTGGTTTATTCCTGCAAAACAAACCTTACTCCTGCTCAAATTGACTTGATTCTATCCTTAAAAGGCTGCAGCAGTGAATTGATTTTCTAAGAATTTAGATAACTTACTGTCTGCATCTTTGTGAGCTTCCCAATATCTGGTGGCAGGATTTCAAAATTGTTGTCACTCAGATAGAGTGCACACAGGGTGGCTGCAAATTAAACAGCAATATATAAACAGGGTGGCAGGGAACCTAACCATTTGAGGTCTGATCAATACGAGGGAGTCAGCTTTGATTCATAACGCTGGCTTGGTGAAAAGCCTTTGACATACCTAGGGCTCCCAATGATAGCAAGCAGGTCAAACCAAGATTTACTGGCTTATCGTGCATCCGGTGTGTCCAGGAAAACATCTATATCCAAGAGGACTGATGCAATTAACAATGTGGGCACTAGCATTTTGGGGCACAGAGTTTTAACGCATTTTGAAAACAGATTGCTATTTTTCTCATAGATTACTTTTGATTCACATTTATATCTCCATTTGCATCCAAAGTAAAACAAAGAAAACTACTGTGCCACTTTTATGGTTACCTAGGGCAAAAAGGTTCTTTCAAGTGAATACAACTATGTTAAAATAGACCTTTTCCTATGTAAATAGCACTGTGTTAAAAATTAATGAAAGGCTTTCTGGTGATGGAGGCTATAACCATAGCTCATCAGTTCCATAATCTGACTAATTATTACTGCTTGTTTCTACAGCCTTAAGGACAAAAGTAAATGAAGACAAAGGGGCTAAAATAATGGCATGAAGTTAACAGAGTAAATCCTAACTTAAGCAGAATATCACTAGTCAGAAATTTATTCACAATTATTACACAATGATAATATGATTCCAAACTACTGAAGGCTAAAATTCTAAAGCATCTGTTTATCCTCAACCAAAAAAACTGATTATAATTAGGTGTATGTTTTGTTTATCAGTATTTATTTATTTCTTATAGATAAGAATCTTGCTCTGTCACCTAGACTGGAGTGCAGTGGGTCACTGCAGCCTCAAATTCCTGGCCTCAAGCCATCTTCCTACCTTGGCCTCCCAATTACCTAAGATTACAGGCACATGCTACTAATTTAATTTACATGGTTAATTTTTAAATTTTTATTTCTAGAGACAGGGTCTCTCTATGTTGCCTAGGCTGGTCCTACACTCCCAGCCTCAAGTGATCTTTGGAGCTCAGACTCCAGAACTGTACGTTAATATAACATAATAAAAACAGGTGCTCCACCACCCAAGAAAATATTTTACAGTTGGTTTCATGTGCTTGAGAAAGTCATAGAGAGATAATGTACATAAGGTAAAAAGTGAAAGTTTAGAGACCAGCTCAGAAAATTCAGATTTTCTGAATGCCATATAAGTTACTAATTGAAGAAATAGAACACTCATTTAAAAGAAGCAAACCTTGTCTGAAATAGTGCATGAGTTCCCAGAAGAAATCACTTTTTTAATTTTCAAAAGCATCTTCAGCAAGAAATTTGTTGGCATATAAAAGAATAAAATGTGGCCAGTAATTTCTTAATGCCTGTGTACTGGATAAATAGGTCAATAAGAGTACTTTTTAAAAGGCTGAAGATAAGAATCCCAGCTGGAAATTTAAAAAATTTGGTTAGTGATTTATTAATAAATATTTTTATAAATAATTGATTGTGACATCCTGGGCAAATATCGCACAAAGAATTAATACCAACATGGGAGGGTACCTTTTTTTGGCATGCTATTTAAAAAGAAAGTCAAGTCTCTTAGCTAAATGTGAGGCTTGATCTCATTTCGGTACATAATCTCTCTCAGACTGTTAATATGACATTACTAAGTCCACTTCAGCCCAATGGTGTCACATAATGATATATCAAATGTACATATTGCTGAGCTACAAAGGAATATTCAAAAGGAGTCTCTAAAGTAAAAAATATCTCTGTCCAGTAATTTCTCTTGGAGTTTATTTAGGTCCTGGCAAATACATTTCACTCTTAGAACGCAAAGTATAGTGTTCAGGAGATTTATAGAACTGAAAGTTTCTTACTCAGGTAGAAGAAGTTTCCAGGAAGACAATTTTCGTTCAAGTTGTTGTAAGTCAAGTCCAGAACCTCAAGAGCTGGCAGGGAGCTGAAGCCTCGTGGCAAAGTGTTCAGCCTGTTCATGCTGTTGCAGGGGGACAAAAATCTGTTAGGACACCAAAGACACATTTATACAGATTATCAAAGGCACCTCTGTTTCACAGGCTGAAAGTGTAAGACAGTGCCATGATCCTAGAGTCACTTTATACTGTATTTTTATTTTTTATTTTTTTGAGATAGGGTCTTGCTCTGTTGCCCAGGCTGGAGTGCAGTGGCACGATCTCGGCTCACTGCACCCTTGACCTCCCCAGGCTCCTTTCACTTCAGCTTCCCAAGTAGCTGGGACCATAGGCACACACCATCACACCCCACTAATGTTGATATTTTTTGCAGAGATGGGTTTTTGCCAGGTTGCCCAGGCTGGTCTCAAACTCCTGAGCTCCAGCCATTCTCCCACCTCGGCCTCCCAGAATGCTGGGAGTATAGGCATGAGCCACCAAGTCCATCCTATTTTTTTTTTAATTAAAAAAAGAATTTATTTAAAATTTACATTGACAAGTGAAGATTGTACATACCTATGGTGTACAACATGATACTTCTGATATATGTATAATCCATTGTGGAATGGCTTAAATCACACTATTTAATATACACATTGCCTTGTATCATATGCTTGTCATTTTTTGTGTGTTTTGTGGTGAGAATACTAAAAATTCACTCTCTTAGCAATTTTCAAGTATACCACATATTGTTATTGACTGCAGTCACCATGACGTACAATCCATCTCTTGAATGTACTTCTCCTGTCTAACTAAAATTTCGTGTCCTTTGGTTAACATTTCTGCAATTCCCCTCTCCCTCCAGCCTCTGGTAACTATTTTATTCCCTGTTTCAATAAGGTTTACTTTTTCACATTCCACATATAAATGAGAGGATGTGGTATGTGGTCCTATTTAGACTAATAAGTTTAGTCAGAGAGCTTATATATTCCTGAAACATTTGAAAATTTCTTAGTTGTCATTTTTCTCCAATGGCGAAATTTAATCACTGTTTTACAGAAAAACTCAAACCATCACAAAATATCTGTCCTTGTAAAGAAAAATTTCCTTATGAATGTAGTGATAATATCTCAAACTATACACATTGAAGCTTTGTAGTTTTCAGACTTTTGTTTTATTTCATTTCCTTTATTCCTTTTAGAAGGGATAATCATTTTTTTTTTTCCTACAACTGCTAACACTCAAAGTTATCTTCAATTAGAATGGTGATGGCCAGGGGCTGGAGGGAGGGGCAATGGAGAGATGTTTTTTAATGGATGTAGGATTCAGGTTTGCAAGATGAGAACATTCTGGAGATTGGCTGAACAACAATGTGAATACGCTTAACACCATTGAACTGTATACTACAAAGACAGTACTTTTTTTTGTTTGTTTTTTATTTTTTGAGATGGAGTCTCACTCTGTTGCCCAGGCTGGAGTGCAGTGGTGAGATCTCAACTCACTGCAACCTCTGCCTCCCCAGTTCAAGCGATTCTCCCACCTCAGCCTCCTGAATAGCTGGGACTACAGGCGCGTGCCACCAAGTCCAGCTAATTTTTGCATTTTTAGTAGTGAAGGGTTTCACCGTGTTGGCCAGGATGGTCTTGATCTCTTGACCTCGTGATCTACCTGCCTTGGCCTCCCAGAGTACTGGGATTACAGGCGTGAGCCACTGCATCCGGCCAGACAGTATATTTTATGTGTATTTTATCATAACTTAAACATTTTTAAAATCATACAATTGACCCTTGAGCAGCATGGGTTTGAACTGCCTGGGTCTAATGACACATGGATATTTTTCTTCTGCCTCTGCTACTCTCCTGAGACAGCAAGACCAACCCTCCTCTTCCTTCTCAGCCCACTCAACATGAAGAAGAGGATGAAGACCTTTAAGATGATCCACTTCCACTTAAAGAACAGTAAATGCACTTTGTTTTCCTTATGGCTTTCCTAATAACATTTTCTTTTCTCTAGCTTACTTTATTGTAAGAATGCAGAATAGAGGCGGCTGGGCGTGGTGGCTCACACCTGTAATCCCAGCACTTTGGGAGGCCAAGGAGGATGGATCCCAAGGTCAGGAGATCGAGACCATCCTGGCTAACACGGTGAAACCCCGTCTCTACTAAAAAATACAAAAAATTAGCTGGGTGAGGTGGCGGGCACCTGTAGTCCTGGCTACTCGGGAGGCTGAGGCATGAGAATGGCGTGAACCCGGGAGGCAGAGCTTGCAGTGAGCTGAGATCGTGCCACTGTAGTCCAGCCTCGGCGACAGAGCGAGACTCTGTCTCAAAAAAAAAAAAAAAAAAATGCAGAATAGAATAATAGAATACATATAACACACAAAATATGTGTTAATCGACATTTATGTTTTGGTAAGGCTTCCTGTCAACTGTAGGCTATTAGTAATTAAGTTTGTTCAGGATCAAAAGTTATGCGTGGATTTTTGACTGCATGGGGGGTCAGTGTGTTGCCTCCTCAAGCCACGTGTTGTTCAAGGGTCAATTGTGTGTGGGTGTGTGTGTGGGTGTGTGTAGTGTGTGTGGGTGTATATGGTGTTGTGTGTAGTGTTATGTGTGTGTGTATGGGGGTGTTATGTGTGGTGTGTGGAGGGTGTGCTGTGTGTGTGGTGTGTGTGGGTGGGTGTGGGGTATGTGTGCGGTGTGGTGTGTGTGTGTGGTGTGGTGTGTGTGTGGAGGGTGTGGTGGTGTGTGTGGTATGTGTGTGGTGTGTGTGTGTGGGGTATGGATGTGGTATGGTGTGGTATGTGTATGGGGTGTGTGTAGGGGTGTAGTGGTATGTGTGCTTATGCAGTATGTGTGTGTGGTGTGTGTGAGGGTGTGTGTGCATGTTTGTGTCTGCATGTTTCCAGTGAAATCTAAGGAAATTTTTTTCTTTTTTAAAATCATACTTTAAGTCCTAGGGTACATGTGCACAACATGCAGGTATATATGTGCCATGTTGGTTGGCGGCACCCATCAACTCATCATTTACATTAGGTATTTCTCCTAATGCTATCCCTCCCCTATCCCCCCACTCCCCAACAGGCCCCAGTGTGTGACGTTAAGGGATTTTTTTTCTACACTATCTTTTATCCTTTTCTTTAAGCCCCTTATTTTTCTCAATGCAGTTCCGTTTGAGCATGCTTAAAAGCCAATTAAAAAAAAAACTTTAATAAAAGTTGACAGGTATTGAAAGGTGGAAGGGACTGTGACAATAAAAATCATTCCAGTCATCGATGCTTCTCATAACAGATCAAGCTCAGTCCAGTCCTACCAAGCGGGCCTCACCAGAAACAGCTGACAGCAGAGGGGGAAACCAAAATGGAAACGTGGGTTCCCCATCTCAGGAAGAAAATGTCCCAGACAGACTACACCCAGCAAAACTACCTTCACGACTATCTACTGCCATGACAGCAACAATGAACATTCTCCATGAAGTCACAATTTGTGAAGCACATTATGGCAAGTACTTCGCTTGTTCACTAAAACTACCTTGTAATACAGGCAAGATGGAGCTTGTAATTAATGCCATCTTGAGATGAAAAAACAGCCTAAGAGAGAGTAAGGAGCAAAGACTTCAGAAGTGGGTGACATGTGTCTGGAAGCACCCTGCACCTCACGGAGGCCAAAGCCACTCCAGACCCGTGGGCTCCTATGCAAGGATTCTGAGAAGAAGTGCAAGTCAGAGACAGCAAGGGAGGTAGGGAAGCATACACTAGGTGCTTCTGTCTTTAAACACTGCTTTAAGTTATCCGTTTTTGAAAACTGATGATTCCTTAACATTTTTCTCTACAAATAAAGAAATACACTTTTGCAATATTAGGTATAGGAAATCCACAGTTGAACAGGCTTAGAGGGAAGAGGCATCTCACTTGAGAGAGAGCTCCCATTCAATCTCCAGCCCAGAGCAAGCCTGGAGCCCCTCCACCTCTTGGTGGCAAGAATCTACTTAACCAAAGGTTCCTTTTTCCTTTGAGTGACAAAACAATACCAACAACGTGTAAGGAACACAGCAGAGTCCCACGTGCAGCTGACAGCAGTATGTAACAGTAGTAGGCACACCACCCTGGGGGGCAGAAAGGAAGCCCTTAAACAAATGCTGAAACTTCAGAAGAACTGCTAGCAACAGCTCCAGCTACAAAGCGGGCAAGGAACTGCAGAGACTTCTGGCCACTCTTCGGAGGCCAGACCATGTGCACGGTGACCTGGTGGCATCTTTCTGCAGAATGAAGGCTGGAACATGCTGGCTGTCCCCCTTCCCCTCAGCAGGTGCTAACATCCATCTCCATCCATCCACATTTCCACATGAGGGAATTCCACGTTCAGGGCCCCACTCTGACACTGCTAGCAATCAAGGTTTCCATGAGAGGTTACAGGGGGAGTAGGAACAGAATGGAGCTTTAAGGTAGGAGACAGCTAGGTGAGGAGTCTGACTCCAGTACTTGCCAGCTGCGTGACCTTGACCAAGTTACTCAGCTTCTCTGAGACCGAATTTCCTCAAGTATAAAATAAGGCTGATAACATCTTCAGGGCAGGATCACTGGGATGATGAGAGAGAAAATATGTGAAGCACCCAACACCCGATCCATGGCTCACACGTGGCTTCTCAGGAAAGGAGTGCTGCTGCTAGAATTATTTTTCAAAAGATTTGAGAGAAAATTTTGAATCAGCCCTAAGCGAGCAAGCTCACCTCATGACAAGCCACTTGGGATGGTCTGAATATCAAGTGTGGTTTTACTATTTGTGCCACGCTTGCTTAATCTCAGGTGACTTCAGGTGTTGAAACATAAAGCTTCATAGGGCTCAGCTATGCCAAGCGGTATCAATTCTTTGTTTGCATGGGAAGATTTTTCAAATGCGTGTTGGAAGTGGGCAAATGTCTGCATATGATGGAGAAATTTATAAAACCAGGATGTCTAAGGCTATTCAGCATCTGTTTTCCTTTTCTTCTAAAGCCCCAGAAAGGTCTGTACAGACTCCTTTTCAGAGCAGTTTCTTCTCTGCAGGTTGTCTTGAACACCTCCAGCTTCAATAAAACCTTCTTGGCTAAAGGCACTAATTTTCTCAACTCCACAGTGACCTACTCACAGTTATCAAAAATAAATATTAAAAAAATCTAGGCTGAGCCCGTGGCTCACATCTGTAATTCTAGCACTTTGGGAGGCCAACACAGGCAGATTGCTTGAGCTCAGGAGCTCAAGACCAGCCTGGGCAACATGGCAAAACCCCGTCTCTACAAAAAAGACTACAAAAATTAGCCAGGTGTGGTGGCACCTACCTGTGGTCCCAGCTGCTCAGGAGGCTGAGGTGGGAGGATCACTTGAGCCCAGGAGGCATAGGTAGCAGTGAGCGGAGATCACGCCACTGCACTCCAGCCTGGGAGACAGAGCGAGACCCTGTCTCAATAAATAAATAAATAAACAATCCAAATCCATAAGTACCCCACATGGTACTTAATAAAAACTTCTATGTGTTCATGAGACAAGCTCTAGCAACAAACAAGGTCAAATGTTATTTCTGAATAGTTGGGCACAGTGGTCCTGCTGTGAAGTTATCCTAGAAATAATCATCAGCATGGGAACATGTGTGGTTTCACATTTTTTGGAAAATAACTCTAGGAAATAAACTGTATTTAAGCAATTAAGAATAGAAATAAACTTTCTTTTATTTATTCAAGTGGCCTAAAATTATCTCATGTCTTACAACCAACAGAATAAACTGCAAATACTATATAAAACTTTGAAAGCAAATTCATATTGAGGGTGCCTTTTGGATCACGCATACAAGTGGCTTGCCTGCTCCATTTTGTGATCTCCTGTGTGTATGCTTTCTTTCACCCTGGCTCCTTAGGATAAGGAGTCCTCCCTATAACTTGCCTTACTGTGTGAACATAATTCTTCATGCCATTTGAGGACAGAGGCATCCTTTAGTGAAACCCATCTTAGCTCCTTTCCCTAAGAACTGGGAGGTTTTCTTCAAACTTTGACAACGCCATCTATGCAGCTACATAATTAAATACAAAAAGCTTTACACAATCAATAAAACGACGACAGCCAAAAGTGTAAACAACTCCAAAGAGAACAAGAAGGCAACTAAGATGCATTCATTGAAAAAGAAAAGTTTAGGGCTGGGTACAGTGGCTCATGCCTATAATCCCAGCACTTTGGGAGGCCAAGGCGAGTGGATCACCTGAGGTCAGGAGTTCGAGACCAGCCTGACCAAGATGGTAAAATGGCATCTCTACTAAAAATACAAAAGTAGCTGGATGTGGTGGTGCATGCATGTAATCCCAGCTACTCAGGAGGCTGAGGCAGGAGAATCGCTTGAACCCAGGAGGTAGAGGTTGCAGTGAGCTGAGATCGTACCATTGCACTGGAGCCTGGGCAAGAAGAGCAAAATTCTGTCCCCAAAATTAAAAAAAAACAAAGAAACACACACACAACAAAACAAAACAAAACAAGAAAAACGGAAAAGAAAAAGAAAAGTTTACAGCTCTGTCCTACGGTGCCTCAAATCAAACAGAACAAAACCTGAGCTTATTATTTTCTTCACAAACCTGTCTCCATCTGTTCTATTTTTCAGCTGTCCAACACAGAAACGTAGGTATCATTCTATCCCATCAGTTACTGCTGTCAATGTTACCACCTGTATAGTTTTCATATAAAATCCCTCCCTGCCTCCACTGTCACTGTCCTAGTTCACATGGGACATGAAGCTCATGTTCTTACTGGTCTCCTAACCTCTAGTTTCCCTCCCTCCACCCTCTTCTCCACACTGATCTTTTGTAGGAAAATCTGACCATATCTCATATCCACTACTCGGCTATGCAAATTTCTCAATTGTCAGCATGATAAAATTGGAGCTCGTTTATTTATTTATTTATGTATTTATTTTTGAGATGTAGTATCACTCTGTCACGTAGGCTGGAGTACGATCTCAGCTCACTGAAGCCTCTGCCTCCTAGGTTCAAACGATTCTCCTGCCACAACCTCCTGGATAGAATAGCTGGGATCATAGGTGCACGCCACCACACTTAGTTAATTTTTGTATTTTTAGTAGAGATGAGGTTTCACCATCTTGAGGAGGCTGTTCTTGAACTCCTGGCCTCAGCTGACCCACCAGCCTCAGCCTCCCAAAGCGCTGGGACTACAGGCGTGAGCCACCATGCCCTGGAGGAGCTTATTTAGCACAGAGGCCTTTCATTAGCACTTTTGACTACCTGTCATTATTATAAACATTTATTTGTTTATGATTGGTTTCCTCAACTGTAATGGAAGCTCCATCAGGGCTGGATGGCCAGTAGCTAGAACCACGCCTGGTACACACTGGGAACTTAGTAAATCCTCATTCACTGAACAGCAGATATCCAGGATTCCCTGTCTAGTCTGACCTCTGACCTTACAGCTGCCTGCCTCACACATTATACTCAACAGTGCCCAAAACCCGACAATTCCTAGGCCCCAGGCAGGCAGTGCTGTGAGCGTTTAAATATGTCATTTGCGACTGGGCGTGGTGGCTCACGTCTGTAATCCCAGCACTTTGGGATGTCACGTGGGTGGATCACGAGGTCAAGAGATCGATCGAGACCATCCTGGCCAACATGGTAAAACCCTGTCTATACTAAAAACACAAAAATTAGCTGGGCATGGTGGCGTGCGCCTGTAGTCCCAGCTACACGAGAGACTGAGGCAGGACAATTGCTTGAACCTGGGAGGCAGAGGTTGCAGTGAGCCAAGATCACATTACTGCACTCCAGCCTGGCGACAAAGCAAGACTCCATCTCATAAAATACATAAATAAATTTTAAAAAAGGCAAATATCTGGCCAGCATCTATTGCCACTCCACATCAATCACTAACTTAACCAGAACATTTAGTGGCTAAAATTTAATGAATATACGACTTTTCACAGAGACTGAAGCATGAGTGGGCAGTTTCATCTAACAGCTGTGCCAATGAAGATGGAATTCTGATGCCACAGTTCCGATTTGGGTCTATGGATGTGTTGGTCTGTTCTCCCATTGCTATAAAGGAATGCCTGAGGCTGGGTAACTTATAAGAAAAGAGGTTTAACTGACTCATGGTTCTACCAGCTGTATAAGAAGCATGGCAGCCGCTGCTTGTGGGGAAGCCTCAGGGAGCTTTTACTCATGGTGGAAGGCAATGCAGGAGCCTGTGTATTACATGGCAGGAGAAGGATAGCACGAGGGGTCTTGCAATAACTCACTCACTATCATAAGGACACTACCAAGAGGGGATGGTGCTAAACCATTCATGAGAGCTCCACCCCCATGATCTAATCACCTCCCACCAGGCCCCACCTCCAACACTGGAGATTACAATTCCACATGAGATTTGGTGGGGACACAGATCCAAACCATATCAATGGAGTCTGATGGAGCCTTTAGACCCATAACCTATGGGGTTCTCTTCCCAGCTTGGCCACTAACCTCAGGGGTGACCAGAACCCAGTCCCTTAGCCCCTTTGAAAAGGTTTGGCTTCCTCTGTATAAAATGAAAGCACTAAAACTTGCCCTCCCTACCTCACAAATGTTGAGAGGATCAAGTGCTGCAAAGCAATACATGAAGACAGGTTATCATTATTATTATTTACTGCTACCTGGTTCTGCAACCTCAGTTGAATCAAAACTCCTCTCTTCACCTTGGCATAAAGAAAGACAGACAATTGTCACCTCTCAACTACAGAGAAGAATTGCAAAAATGAATGAAGCAACATTAGGGAATACATTCTTCCTTCCATGGCATGAAGGTGCTTTGTAAACCATTCCTATTTAACACAGAGAGAAAAAAAAACAACCATATTACAACTTGTCTGCCAGTTCATGCTAGGCAAGTAAGTCCCTTCTTGGTCAAGAGAACTGAGATAAAATTTTACTGGACACAAAATACAGTAAAAATGTAACTTCCTTATTATGCCAACTATTAGCTTCTCAATTAGCTCTCAAATATTCACTAATGTAGGCCACCGAAAGGATATATTAAAACAATAAAACTTTTTTTAAAGCCCAAAACACAAAAAGAAATTAGAAATCCACTTCTGTGCAATGATATAAATGGAATTCCTCCCCTGGCCCTACCCAGCACACCCCTTCCACTCTCTTCCTCTCCATCCTTTCCCCTCCACTGATACTCACCCAAGGTTCAGGTGTTTGAGTTTTTGATGGCTGCTGATCTGTGTGGGCAGCTCCTTGATCTGGTTATTTAAAAAGCTGAGCACTTCCAAATTCTTCAGTTCTGCTATGTTTGGTGGTACCACCATGGAAACATAAATGTGAATCTGGGAACAGAACTCCTAGCAAGGGATGGCAGCAGCACATTTTGCTTTTCTTCAAAGCAAAGAAAGATATAACTCCAAAAGGACCATTGAATTCACCTATCAGTCTTACTTATTTTTTATGGGTTTTTCATAAGCTATCGCTCACTTCTGAGTGGCCGCTGAAATGCTTTTTCGTGTATCATTAGCTAAGTGCTTGGCATAGTTTGTTTCAGATGGACAATGAAGAGGGAAACAGAGCAAAAATGCACAAAAGAGAATTTGTGTACCATAGCAGCCTATAAAATTGAATATTATGAAGCATACATACTTATAGTGGTCATATAGGATCTTTTAAGTGCAATTGTTTTTTTCCTTTTGGTTTTCTTGCATTGCCACCAGAAGAAAGACAGCAACCTCCAAATCCCTTCCTGGGTGACGTACATTGAAGCTGTTTAAATAACGCAGTATCTGAAGAGCTGCCCTCTTAACATTGCATTATATTAGCTCAATTTTAAATAATGAAATATTCGACCTCCCTAGTTTCTGATTTTGGCCTCTGGAGTAATGTATCTTGATCAACACCACACACACATATAGACACACACACATACATACACATACACACACACAAAGGTTACATCAGATTAGCAACAGATCGATATACTGTTATTATATAGAAATAAAAAAGTCAACTCAGCAGCATGCTATGAATACTAGTATGCAGCTCAAAGGTGAAAATCAACCACTGGGGACCTGAAAGTTTCCTCCTTCCTTAGTATGTGTATGTATATGTGTGTGTGTGTGTGTGTGTGTGTATATATGTATATATTTATATATGTGTGTGTGTGTATATATGTGTGTGTGTGTGTATATATATATATTTATACTTGAAAATACAAATGTAAAAGCCAAAGACATCTTTATCTCAAAAGCACAAACTATAAATTGGCAGCAGAAGGACTTTCCATAGGCTGTAATTCATCTATCCCATTTGCTATTCAATCATTCTTCAAACATTTGTATGGCGATAAGCTTGGCCATGGTTCATGTAAACTCTGATACCAAGACTATCCAGGTAACTAAAAACATGAACAGGGGCCTGGAGCCCAGCCCGAAAAAGTGTGATATCTCATATCAGTCAGGTTTACTTCCCATCCCATCTGCTTCCTCCAGGGGTGCCCCAGGAGGCTGGAAAACCAACCTGCTTGCCTGCAGTCAGACCAAAGTGCCTACAGAGCTCATTAACTTCTTTTTGGCTGGAAGCACCTCCACTTTGCTGGACAGGCTGGAGAAACCAGAGTCCATCTGATTTCTGGACTGACACGGCCCCTCCCTGAGCAACAGCTTTACTCCTAAAAGGACATGTATCTATGGCCATTGGTTACATCTGCAACAAGCATGAGCCACCCGGCACTGCAGTTGATGCACATTCACAAAATCAACAATCAATCAGCTCAAGAACAGCTTCCCTCAACCGGCCAGCAGCCCACAAACTATCTCCCCTCCACATGAAGAATCAAAATCAACTACTTAAGTTATAACAATTGCATTTCAATTCTGTTGAATTGAGTAAGGAAGATTCTGTTCTATGATCTAAAATTAATAATTCCACAACCAACAGCTTAAGCATTTTAGGAGTTTACACAATAATAATTAACAGGGTGTGTTCTGGGGCTGGGCTATCTGATGGACAGCCACTAGCTACATGCAGCTATTTGAATTTAAACCCAGATTAATCAAAATTAAATAAAACGATGAATGCTATTATTTGGTCACAGCAGCCACATTTCAAGAGCTCAACAGACACATGTGGTGTCTAGTGGTTCCACTACTGCATGGCAGGGATACTGACCATTTCCATCACCACAGAACGTTCTATTAGACAGCCCTGCTCTATGGCAGTGGGTCTCAAACCACAGAGACATCAGAATCACCAGAGGGCTTGCTGAAACACAGATGGAGGGGTATCTCGGAGTTTCTGATTTGGTAAGTTTGGGGTAAAGCCTGAGAATCTGAATTTCCAGCAACTTCTCAGGGGATGCTGATGTTGCTGCTTTGAGAACCATATTTTGGTTCAGAAAACTTAATTCATTGGCAGCATCAGGATAATCAATCCAACACATATGTCCCTTACCCTGTGCAATAATGCGATGAGTATAATAATCAATCTTATCCAAATGAAGACGCCTATTGAGCTGGGGGATTGACAAGAATGAAACACATGATACTCTAGATAGCTAATACGTTCAATGTGGGTGCCACAAGCAAACACTTTCTAGTCAACTTCTGCTTCCCCACACAGGATTTTATGCTAAGATCAGTATTGCTTAAGATGGATAACTCCAGATTTCATGCCTGTGCTGTGGATGGAAAGCATCATGTGTTCAGAGCAGCTTCTGGCTTCCTGGCAGCCGTGGGTGTGCGTTAGCGTGGTGCAGGGTCTAGTGCTGCCCTTCTGGAGCTGAAGAGAACCCGGCTGTCGCTGGTAACCGTATGACTCTAAAGACCAAAGTGTGACCCCCTGACCCTCCCGTGGGCTGCACGCAAGCAGAGCTCCCATCCTTATGTTTTTGTGTGGTGCCTGCTGCTCCCAGAGTCTGCCACTCCTTACAGCTTTGTGTCTTTGCCTCAAGGGCCACAAGATGCTTTTGCTCAAAAAGCACCCCAATCAGCTGCACCCAAGCTGGTCTGTCTGTGCCATCACTACCACCCAGCATCCTACCGTTAGGGCTCAGTGTTTTGAAGTATAGCAGGTGACATTTCTTTGCATGACCACCCTTGGTCACTATGAATTTGCCACTGAGTGACTTAATTCAGTGTGCTAGGGAATTCAAGGCTTTTCTCCTCTGGAAAGCACTTTATATGCAAAAAAAGAAAAAAAGGTCATTTGTAGTTACAGTGATTAATTACGTTTGTTTTCTGGCCAAAAACACAAGGTGGATAATGAACTTATTACATATTACCATAAGAGTTTGAAGTTCAAAAGTATACTAATGATAACTGGCTTCACAGATTTTATGGGATTTCACCCAAAGCAGCTATTAAAGGAGTGAATTACAGTAGTTCTAAGTTATTTAAACATAAAGTTTATGAAACAGTGAAATTCTCATTTAGAAGGTTCTACATGTTCCTCAAGGTAAACATAAAATATCAAAATATCTAAGCATCTACCCCAAAAAGGCCAACAAATAATAGCTTTATAAGTAACAAAGTTCTCCAAATATTATTAGCTTTATAAATAACAAAGGTAATGCTGCTTTCAGTTAATAAACAACAAGTATTTACTGAGAACCTGTGCCCCGAAAACACATGCTCACTCTATCCTAGTATGAGCCGCCTCAGGATTCTATAGCCTAAGTCACTTTAGTAAACAAAAAAAATCCCTGGCTTAACTCACTGCAACACAATCGTCCTACTCTTTCAGCAGCAATGTGAAAAATCAATTACATGAAAATTAGAGGAAAAAGTATAAGCAATTAATAAGGTAGATTTTAAAGTATAAAGCCAAACATGCAAAAATATATGTTCCTGAGCTATAAAAGGTGTGTATGCATAACCAAATAAATCTCCTAAAAAACTGACAAGCATAGATTTCTTCTCCTCCAAGGATATAAAAATTAATTTCTGAATCTTGTGTTAACTTCCAAAGCATCTTCAGGAGGACATATGAACTCTGAATTCTTGCAGGAACACCGCTTCTAAATTGATTCCAGTTCTGATGTGCTACCCCTCCAGCAAAGCCGTACTTGAATAAAGAGCTTTAATTGGGGAGCTGGGAGGGAGAAGCAGCACCGAGAGGAAAGGAAATGGCATTCAATGGCATTCAGTGGCATGGGGAGGAAGTGACACCCAGCGAAGGGTAAGAAAAGGAAGGGTAGGAAAATTGCCCAGGAAATTCCAAAACACTGGGAAGAGAGAGAAAGAGAATATGAAAAAAAACTTCAACCCATCAATGGAGAAAAACAAGCTCAGTGTTATAAAAGGAGTGATCTAGGCTCTTTTATGTGAGTACATGTCTTTATTATGTATAATATATATGAATGTATATCTACATGTAAGCCTCGATTATTAGCATTACGTGGTAGACAGTAAGCAAGTCACATTCTATCTTGCACTCTTACACACACACATAAAAAGCATGTTTTGCCATTAGTTTCTGTCTTCTTTTACAATTAAGAATTAATCTAGCTGGGCGCAGTGGCTCACACTTGTAATCCCAGCACTTTGGGAAGAAGCTGAGGTGGGTGGGTTACTTGAGCCCAGGAGTTTCAGAACAGCCTGGCCAACGGGGCAAAATACCACCTCTACAAAAAATTAGCTTGGCATGGTGGTGCATGCCTGTAGTCCCAGCTACTCAGGAGTCTAAGGTGGAAAGATCACTTGAACCTGGAGGTTAAGGCTGCAGTGAGCTGAGATTGTGCCACTGCACCAGCCTGGGCAACAAAGAAAGACCCTGTCTCAAAACAAAAACAAAAACAAAACAAAACAAAAAAACAAAAGGGAATTAATCCAGCAAGAGGACAAAACTGGACTGCTTCTCTTCCTACTGGACAAAAAACAAAAAACAAAAGGGAATTAATCCAGCAAGAGGACAAAACTGGACTGCTTCTCTTCCTACTGGACCTTATCTTTAGGGTCGCTGCATGAGAAGGGCAGGAAGGGGAGGGAAAGGAAGAGGCCCAGGGCTAGGAAAATCCACTAAATCCACATGGGAGCTTTGATCTTTCCCTCTGAACTAACACAACTATGGCTTTTAACCTTAGGAACTGTCCTTGTTCTTCTACTGGAATGAGTAAGGATCCAGAGCCACAGGAACACTTCGTCCATGGTGCTCCTAGATTGACCTGATGGGACATCTCAAGTGCACACACACATCACTTGCAGAGACAGCAGGGGACATGGTGAAGCAGCCACTTGGAAGCCGTGCAGAAAGCTCTGTCTTTCCCTCCTTCTGGTCATTTAACCACTTTACACCTGTTTCTTTCACGTGATACAGAGTGAGGGTTCAACAAATTTGCTCTTTCCCTTTCATCTCCTTCTGAAGTTATTACATAGGTGT